CTCCTCTGTTGGGCCAGCCAGTGCCGAGTTCACCATAGAGCACAGCCTACAAATCCTGCAATTATACGCTGAAATACTTTGAGGAAGCCTGAGGACAACACACCTTGAGTCACAGGGAGCACCAGCCCAGATGCGCGTTGGAAAATGCATCTGAGCCTGGCTGCAAGAGCCAAGGAGCTGCCTGGGAATGTGCAATGGGTGTGCTGGGCTGCACTGAGCTTGGACCCATCGCCACTGAGGTGCACCAGGTGTGCCGGGGTGCACTGGTCCCTGCTGGGATGCACTGGGTACTGCTGGAATGCACTGGTCCTTGCTGGGATGCACTGGGCAGCATTTGTGGAGGCAATGTCCCACTCCACAGGCCCTGCAGAAAAGCTGGGTGGGACAGCGCTGGGAACAGCACTGTCACAGAGTCACTGAATGGTTTAGGTTGAAGGGACCTTAAAGATCCTATAGCACCAACCCTGCCCACCATGAGCAGGGACACCTTCCAGCAGACCAGGTTGTCCCAAGCCCTGTCCTTGGACACTTCCAGGGAGGTGGCTGTCACGCCTTGCTCCAGCCCCATGCAGGTGCTACATGACCTGAGCCCTTTGCAGCCTCTTTTGCCCTCCCTGCAGCCCAAGAGCCCCCTAGGGGAAAAGAGGGCTCTTCCTTTGCAATTTTGGGGCCCCCATGGGGGAGAACCACACCTGCCCCACACTCACACCTAGCTTCAGGTCCAGCCAGAGTCCTCACCAGCTCCTTAACTGCCTGCCTGGCTCTGCCCAGCTGGTGCTCTCCACAAAACCTACTCCATTCCTGCCCCATTCAAAAGGCAATGAGGCATTTATCTTCACTATAAAACCACATTGTCAGTTTAATTTCTTTGGAAATGAAAGGATCCCTCTGACATCACCTCCTGCACCAGGATGAGACCCCTCAGAAGGAATCTGTCCTGTCAAAACTCTGCGTGAAGCACCTCCACTTGAGATTAGATCATGTCAGGGTTTGTCTGTGCAGAAGACGGGAACCCTGGGGCAGCCGAGACTGTGCTGAGAACAAGTCTCGTTTAATTTGCTTCAGCCCAACACCACAATGCAGACTCACACCGCTGACCTCCTGTCGTGTCCCAGCACTTTGCTGTCTGGGAGGAAGGGCGAAGGGGCACCGGCAAGGACTGCCTGCAGCAGGCTGGGCCCCCAGCCCCAGAAAGCATTTACAAAACACAAACAGCACTGGAGAGAGCAGCCAAGAAGCTTCTATTCCTGTGGAAACGAAGAGCAAAAATGAAGTTTGAAGCAAGCCTGAATCCATCCGAGCATATGCAGGAAAAGCTGTTAACCAGCTTGTGACAGCCAGAAAGTCCATGTCCCAGGGAGCGCTACTATGTCTGGAGCTGACTCCAACTCCAAGAGCTGTTCCTGTGCTCTCGGCACAGCAGGAAGCTCCCAGCTACCTTGGCTCTGTCATCCTCCCTGGGGAAGCCCCAGTCTCCCAGATCCTACCTCCTCCCCATCTGCCTTCCCCCCATACAACATGTTTGAACTCTTCAGGCGAAGACCTGGGAAGGGCCAAGCAAGGTCAAGCTGGGCCACACATGGCTCTGTATGTCCCCATCTCTGCCAGAATCACGTGCAATGGCAAGAGCTGGTTTCAGCTGCCATGTCTGTGGGGACAGATCCATTTTTCCCACCCTCCCATGACAGTCCCACAAAGGACAATTTTTCTTCCCGAAGCTGTATCTATCCTTCAAGGAATTTGCTTTATTTAGTAGGTTGGTTACTTAGTGTCTCTCACAGGTACATGACTCTCCAAAGAGAGGCCCCTTTTGCATGTCTCTCTCTCCGAAGGATGCCTCTGCACTTGTAGGATTTCCTTAAAACTTTCTGGTCCAGTCTCAGTTCTTAAAATTATCGCCCCTGTCTTGGAGTAGTCCTGTGCAGGAGAGTGTTTATCCATTGATGATCTTCTCGCTGATGTATCCAGGCATGGTGTAGATCAAAAGAACGAGGAAGATGGTCAGAACAGCCACAATGAACAGCACAATGATGTATTTCTTGTACCGCTTCCAGATAAAGAACACAAAGGTCTTCATGGGATTCATAAACCAGTTGAAAGAAGTTTTTGGCCGGCTGGAACAGGAAAGGAAGAACAGATAAGCACAGGCTCAATTCACGGAGCAGCACGCTGGCCTCTCTGCTTTAGTGCCTCATGGTCCTGCTGCTGCCAGACAGGATCCCCCTCAGGGCTGCAATAACCACAGTGCCTCGGAAAGCACCGGAGACAATGGGACCTGAGCCTCAGGACAGCCCCCACAGAGCTGTTCTGCACTCATGTGGCTAAAAGGTTGTCAAGGGTCAGGGCTGGGCTGGCCTCTGGACAAATGACAGGTGCTCTCTAATAACACCTCTCCCTCCCCAAAGGGGAAGGGAAAAGGGACCGAGGCAGAGGGACTTAGGATTGGAAAAGAAAACTAAAACAGCTTTAATGAAACAAAGTAGTACTAATAAGGAAATAAGGGAAGTAATGAAATATATAGAAATTCATACAAACTCAGTACTGAACCCAACCGCCCGCCCCAATAGCAATCCTCACGGGTGCTGCAGAGCGGGTGGCACCAGGGAAGTCTCAGGTTCAGCGCTAGTGGGGACCCGGCCACAGGAGTTGGGAACTCACGGCTCGGAATCAAAGGCAGGGGATTGGAGAAAGTCCTTCTTGGACCCCAGCCACTGAAGAAGAGGCCTTAACCCCTGTTATCCCTCAGCATCCTATGAGATATCACATTTATGGGATGAAATACTTTGCTGGCCAGTTTTGGGTCACCTGTCCTGACTCCTCGTCCCCGGAGATGTGACCTTTTACTTCCTTGGGACCCTTTTACTTCCTAGCACCCCCAACACAGCACACAGGACTTCGAAGCGACCTTGGTTAGTAGAGGAGCAAGCATGAGCTTGCCTTTCTGCATACCTATCCTTGGTAGTAACTACAATACCTTGATGATTACTGCTTCTAGAAGCAGACACTATCTGCAAAAACACGCTGTCAACCTCAGAAAGTGCCGCCTCTTAGGAGAGACTGAGCTGAAAAGTAAAACCACTGAACAGAACTGGTTCTGTTTCAGCACAAACCAGGGCACGGGTGCATCCCCATGGTTAAAGCAGAGCTGCCCTTTTTGTACAAGCCATGTTATGCAGTAGCTGCCTTGAGCACCTCATCGAGCTCAGCCCTGGCCCAGGTGCTGCAGCCGCTTGTCCTGCCTGGACCCACTCAAGCTCTGGGAAGCCCTGGCAGCTCCAGTCCGGCAGACCCCACTGCTCAGGGCCTCCTTGGCAGCTCTCAGCCTCCTGGCAAGCTGATGCTCCCTGTCCCCACGCAAAGAGCTGCTGAAAGCACCGCACTGTCCATCCGTGTGAAAGGTGGTAACACAAATACTCACTTGGGCTTTTCCAGGGGTTCAGGCTCTTTTCGGCCCAAACCAACAGGACTTTTCTCAGCCTCCTCCACAGTCAGCAGCTGGAACTCAGCTTCCACCTTACCCTGGAAAGGAAACACATCTGAGCTACAGGCACGTGTTTCTTGGCAGACCAGCCTGCTGACCACAAGCCCTGCCAGTTCCACTTACAGATGATCAGAGCAATCAACTTTTCTCTCCAGGCATCGGCTACAGAGTCACTCGTTCCCCAGCTACCTGGAAATGTCTGCAGCCTCCCACACTGGATCTGAGCAAAGCTCACCCTTGGGGATAAACCACGATCAACTAGCAGGGCCATCAGCAGTGTCTGCCCTGGGACAGGTGGCTCCTGCCTGGGATAGGCAGAAACTCTGGGACAAGCTTTTGCTGCTGTCCTGTCTGGTTGGTGGGGAGCCATGTGCCTCTTGCTTCGCTCCCCTCACCGAGTCCTGCTCTGTGAGGAGCTCAGAGGAAGGCGGGAAGTTGGACACCCCCTGCAAGCCACTGCAGCTGGCACCCCTGGGTGGATGAGCTGCTGGATTTGCAGCACAAGGGACAAGTCTTCAGGACCCTGCATGAAGTGCTGTGCAGCGGTGTCATTGCTGCCTCTGTAGCTGTGTGCATGGAGGACAGGTTGCCGTGTCACAGCAGAGGTAAAACACTGGGTCCCTGCTCACCCAGCCAGCATCCAGCCTTACCGTCAGCAGGTACTTGTTCCCACTGGGGTCTGTGAACTCCACGTCCTCTGGTTTGACTGAGCTGCTCCACTTCTTTTTCTTCTTCTTCTTCTGCTTGACCTCCCTCTCCTCTCTCTCCTCATCCTCTTGATCTTTGAGTTTGATGAAGGGCCACCAGCCCCGCATGCGCTTGTTCCGGAAGATGGAGAAGCGAGGTGTTGCATTCTCCTTGGCCATCTGGATGGTGCAAAGCTCTGAGCTCTTGGCTGCCCGCACCATGTCATGCAGCTTCAGCTCGATGGAGCCTGCAGGCACAGTGAAGAGAAAAGCTCATGGGGAAACCCTGTGG